ATTATTGATTTTAGAGAAGAAGGAAGAGGGAGAGATAGAAACATCAAAGATGAAAGAGAATTATAGATTGGCTGCCTCCTGCATGCCCCCTACTCGGGGATAGAGCCCACAACCCAGGCAAGTGCCCTGACCAGGAATCTAACCGTGACCTTCTGGTTCATAGGTCTTCACTCAACCACTGAGCCACACCAGCCGGACATCCATGTCCTCCTTCAGTGGATGACGGTGACAGAGGGAGTAAACTCACCTGCAGTGATTCCCTGTGACAGTTGTTTGGTATCTGCCCCATTTCCGAAGCTCTCCTACACCTCCGTACAGGGGAGCTGAACAATTCCAGCGGAGCATTATTAGGACTTGAATATCTACATTAGGTCTTATCTCAGTTCTCTAGGTTTTCTCTACATTTTTTGGTTTAACCTATATAAACTCTCTCCCCACCTTTGGCACTTTCATCTAATCCAGCAGTTCTCAACCTGTGGGTCGCGGCCCCTTCTGGGGGGTCGAACGACCCTTTCACAGGGGTCACCTAAGACCATCAGAAAACACATAAATAATTCCATATTGTTTTGTGATTAATTACTAAGCTTTAATTATGTTCAATTTGTAACAATGAAATTGGGGGTCACCACAACATGAGGAACTGTATTAAAGGGTCGCGGCATTAGGAAAGTTGAGAGCCACTAGATTCTAGAACCACTGATTAGAACCACTGATTCTAATCCAGGGGTGGGCAAACTTTTTGACTCGAGGGCCACAATAGGTTCTTAAACTGGACCGGAGGGCTGGAACAAAAGCATGGATGGAGTGTTTGTGTGAACTAATATAAATTCAAAGTAAACATCATTACATAAAAGGGTACGGTCTTTTTTTTCAATAGTTTTATTCATTTCAAACGGGCTGTAGTTTGCCCATGGCTGTCTAATCCCATATGTGGTAATAACTTGATTACCCTAGTAACCATAACTGAAACTAGTACAGGTTACTATCACTAGTGCAGGTTCTCTGGAATACGGGGGAATCATCTTTCCGAAATAATCTTTCCTGTTGAACTAACAATTTCTTTCTTTTTAAAAAAATATAATTTTATTTATTTCAGAGAGAAAGGGAGAGGGAGAGAGAGAAAGAAATGTCAATGATGAGAGAGAATCATTGATCGGCTGCCTCCTGCATGCCTGCTACTGGGGATCGAGCTTGTAACCTGGGCATATGCCCTGACTGGGAGTCAAACTGTGACCTCCGGGTTCATAGGTCCATGCTCAACTTTTGAGCTGAGCTGGCCAGGCGGGCTAACAATTTCTTAAAATAAGAGTCCAGATACTTTCTATATCTACTTACATAATAATGAGCAAAAGGCATGTTGTGCACCTGGTCCATGTTATGGAAAACAGACTTGACATATTTTAAAGTATGTGTCAGACTCCAGACTCTCTCAGACTTTACTTCAAAAATGACCCCTGACACAAAAGAGTAACTTCTGACATCTTCTGTATTCAAGTTTAAATGCAGGAAACAATTTCCCCTAAGTATTAGTCTGACAGTGTTGAAAAGAAATCCACTGTCACCCATCTGATAAAGAAAACTTACCCTTTTCAATTTGGCAGCAGCCTCTCCAGAACGGATTGCAGTCAGCAGACTCTGTCGGAACTCTTCGGGGTCAGAGCTTTGGAATGTTAGAGAACTTTGCCTCTTAAGGGTGAATGGTGGGCAGTCGGTTGGAGATGGTATTTGGGAATTCCCCTCACTATGTGCAGGATTATTTTCCTAAAACAATAAATGCAAAATATTTATATGAATACCAAGTGAAAAATGGCACTTTTTTTTTTCTTCATCAATAGTGCTTTAGGATTCACCATTTGCCACATTGGTTTCCTAGACATAGCTCTATTTCCTCACCCACTGAATCGTCTCAGCTACCAGAGCTCAGCTGGAAAGAGGGCATTAATTTCCTTTCTCTTGAATAGGGAGGGTGCTAAGGCAGAAAAGTAGTACCTCTCTTTGTTTCATGAACAAAGGGTAATTTTACTGTCCTTGAGACAAATAAGGTTGATTTCTCTAACGGAGTTGCCTAAGAGAGCCAAGTGAATTTTAAAAATAAATATTCCACAGACTAAAAAAGAACCCATTTTCACAGTTCCAACATATTAGGTTGTGAAATTATTATTTTTGATGGTTCAAAATAGACAAATATTGGCAAATTCACACTGGTTGAAACTATAGCAACATATCATCTAATAATAAAATGTTAATGATTATGCTACCTGTAATGGCTTGTTTTGTTTCTGGAAGTTAGAAGGACTAGAGATGGCCATGTTTTCTTTATTTTTCCCATGGGACTAAAGGTAAATAATAGGAACTTCTAAGAATTAAAATTTTAACTCAATTTCTTAGAAATAAATATTTAGTAACTAATTCAACTGGCAACTATTATCAAAAAATTTTAAATATGTCTTTTTCAAACTGCCAAATAAATATCTTTACAAATGGTGAGTTAAACAGAGCTCAGGCAGTGACTCAAAGACTGTATTTTCCAAATCAAGCTTCTGTTATTTAGGAAAGGTATTCCATTCTAAGAAAAAACACAGGCTTTATTCCCAAGTAAAGAATTAATCTCACATCATATATCTCTTCCTGAAATTATATCAAAGTAATAAACATAAATGTGAAATGAAGAAATATTCTTCAAGATAAATAATGCATTGAAATTATGGAAAAATCTTTACTTGGCAATATGGTTAATGTTCTGTTACTCTCGGAATGTTTGAAAAATTCGTATAAAATACATCTGGAACTGTCACACAAATATGGAAGTATTCTTTAAACACGATCAGAGTAAAAGTACACAAGGTATTTTTTAAAAATTGTGTGGGGAATATCATAACTCATTCTGTGAATTTCATCCTCTCCTTTGACTATGTGAATCTGGCGAATTGTAATAGTTGAGCAAACACTAAGTCAACGAATACTCCCTCTTTTTGTAAATTATTAAGGTTACATAGTAGTTAAATGATATTTTGGTCAACATACACATAACTGGAAAAGCTGACCCTGAATTAACAAAATAGGAAATTAAGAAAATGGCATATTTAAACTCTGGTTTTAAATTATTTATATGTAAAGATATCTAATAAGCTGAGGTTAACTGTATATTATAGAAAACACATAGCTGAGAGATGCTTGGTTATTTTACCTAGGCTTTGATACTGTTTATATAAATATATGTATTAAAAATATTTTTACTGATTTCAGAGAGGAAGGAAGAGGAAGAGAGATAGAAACATCTATGATGAGAGAGAATCATGGATCAGCTGCCTCCTGCACGTCCCATACTGGGGATCAGGCCTGCAACCTGGGCATGTGCCCTGACCAGGAATCCAACCGTGACTTCCTCGTTCATAGGTCCATGCTCAACCGCTGAGCCATGCCCGCCAGGCTATATTTCTATATAATTAAAACGATTTTTGCAATTATGTAGAATTGGAGAAAAAAATAAAGTAAACCAGAACATCCAGAAAGCTATAAACAAATTAAGATAAGCAAAACCCAGGGAAATAGGGTCAGAACTATACACTAGTACATTATACAAATGTAGGAGCAAAGAAACTTTAAATTAAAATATTTGCTGAGAATATAATTATATGTTGGCCTTATACCCAACCAAATTATATGAATTACTAGAGGCCCGATGCACAAAATTCATGCAAGAGTAGGCCTTCCTTCTCCCGGCTGCAAACACCAGCTTTCCTCTGGCACCCAGGACCCAGGCTTCCCTCATGGCCCGGCTTCATCTGGAAGGTCAGGCGGAAGGACGTCTGGTCTAATTAACATATTATGCTTTTATTATTATAGATAGTAATTCTGAGAGTAAATATCAGATTCTGCGTATTAAACTTTTTTTTTCTACAGCCGGTTGTTTGATAATAGATTAATATGAATTCAGACTTAATACACAAACATATCAACATGCCGTACAAGAACCCCTTCTTTTTAAAAAGGTAAAATTTACCTTATTACTCACACCGAGCTGTGGGACGTCCACAGCGGGACTTTTCCCTTCCTCCGCGTGGCTGGGAGCGGGCGCAGAGGCGCCCTCGCTGCAGGACGCGGTGCGCACTTTGCTGAAGGACTGAGACCGTTTCACCACGGCCAGGGCGAAGGGCGAAGGCGCAGAGCTCGAGTAAGGTCGCGGGGCACCGAACGTTGTCAGAGTCTTCAGGTTTAGCGCTGCCAGCTGACTTGTGGGAAGAGAAACAGGTTTGGGAGCCACAGGGGGAGGAGGAGAGGGTTCAGGAGGCTTCTGGCTGCTGAGGCCACCATCAGCGTCTTTAACGTGGGGCTGCGGAGGCGAGCGAGCTGCCTTACTGGAGGGAGAAGGAGTTTGCTCTGGAGGAGGCCTCGGATCCGTTTCCACCTCCTTCCTCGGGAGCTCCTGTGGAGCAGGGTTAGGGGCAGTGTGGGCACTCTTGGCGGCTGCAGATGTCACGTACTGACCCGAAGCTCTTTTTTGCATTTGCAAAAAAAAGGAACTTGGTTTGGCCTGGGGATTTGAAGCCCGAGATTTAAGTCTTGACTCTAATATATTGTTTATATCTTCCAAGTTTGGCACAAAAGGAGCCGTGCCAGTGTCTCTCGTCATTCTGGGAGTGGGTTTCAGAGGATTTGCTGCGGGGCTGTGGGGCACGCCCTCCACACTGTGCCCCTTATGCTCTGATCTCAGGGCAGGCTTGGGTTTAAGGTCTAGCTGTGGCTCCTTTGGACTTTCAGAAATAACAAAATCTTCTGTCTGCATTGCAGTTTCTTTCACATTCTCATGCATGTGCTTTTTCCCTAAAGAATGTCTGTCTTGATCATCTTCATACCCTAAGGTTTCTGTTTCCCCATCTTTTACTATTTCCAGGGATTTGGGAGGCACTATTTTATAAGTAGTCATCCCAATTTTGGGTATATATTCTCTTGTAATTTCATTGGAAGGTTTTGGCTTGGGATTGTAGTCTTGTCTGTAGAGTGGATAATTCTTCATATAAGAAGCCGTTGAGTTTTTATTAATCTCATCTACGGGAGCATCATTACCATGTGCATACATTGGATCTTTCATGGTGAGCTGATCTTCTGAATGTACAGTGAGAGGGCCCTGTCTCCTGAATTCTCTTGAGGTATCCACGGAACCTTGTGGACTTAAAGACGAATGTTGAGTTGATTTGTTGTTATTTGCAGTTTGCACACTTTCATCAACTTTGAAGTCGGACAAATGATGATGTCGGTGATTCCCATCAAAACTGTTGCAGGAAGGAGTTGCCTGAATTGCTGCATCTTGCATTTTTGTCTTTTCTGCACCGGGTTGATTCAGTGTTGGGCCTGGTTCTGGTGAAGCAGCTAGATGATTTTCCTTGTCACGTCTATCAGTTTCAGTTTTATGTGCCTGAAGTCTGTCAACTTCCATGTCCACATTGTTATTTTTGGCAACACCTCCTACATTAATTTCTGTTCTCCTCACTCCGTCTTTCATATGATCTTCTGTATTCCTTGAAGTGACAGTTATTTCATTTTGATCTACTGAGAGAAAAAGAAAAAATCATCAAGTATTGGGAAGAAAAAGTAGAAAAACTTCAGTTTGCAATGCTTGCCTCCCCAAACTAACTTAGGTCGGTTTAAAATTGTCAGCTCACTCATTACACAAAATCAGGTAGTTGCATTTAATGAAAACAGCGTGGGCTTTGGTGTCAATGGAGACCCAAGTCTGGAACCCATCTGTAAGTGGGCTTGACTAATTATAACCTCTGTGATCACAACGTATTACTTAACCCTTTGAGCCTCAGTTTGCTCAGATGTAAAAACGTGAAAGTATGTATTACAATTGACCCTTGAAGGACACAGGGGGTAGGGACACTGAGCTTTCTACACAATTAAAAATCCAGATATAGCCAGAACTGATTTGGCTCAGTGGATAGAGCATCGGCCTGCGGACTGAAGGGTCCCAGATTTGATTCCGGTCAAGGGCATGTACCTTGGTTGTGGGCACATCCCCAGTAGGGGGCGTGTAGGAGGCAGCTGATCGATATTTCTCTCTCATCGATGTTTCTAACTCTCTATCCCTCTCCCTTCCTCTCTGTAAAAAATCAATAAAATATATTTAAAAAAAAATCCAGATATAACTTTTGACTCCCCAGAAACTTAATAGCCTTCTGTTGACTAGAAGTTTTACTGATACCCTAAACAATGGACTAACACATATTTTGTATGTTATATGCACTATATATGGTATTCTTAAAATAAGGTAGGCTAGAGAAAAGAAAATGTTATTAAGAAAATCATAAGGGAGGGAATATACTTTTATATATTATTGAAAAAAAAATATGTAAGTGGACCCATGGAGCTCAAACCCACGTTGTTTAGGAGTCAGTATATATTTTCTTTATCATTTATGTAACATGCGTATTAGGATAGGATATTGCCCAGAGCAAGCACTCCATAGAACACTGCTATTTCTTCTTATAAGTAAAGACTTCATATCACAGTCATTGTTAAGAATGACAAAAGAAATTGACAAATTCAAAATATATTTTTTATTCTTTATGTTTTTCCATTTCAATTCTCTCCTGTCATTTATTATTTTATACATAAAATTAAGGGGAAGCAATCCCAGCAAATGTTATCAGTTTTAAATAAGGCAGACAACAGAAACATTACCTTTCAGAGTTAAGTAAAAACACAATCAATATTGGCTGAGTTGTTAACTAAGTGTCCTCACTGAAAGGGACTGTGTTTTGAATCACAATACTAGTGATTTCCGTACATAAAAATGATCATGTGGTTTTTTTCATTTGGGGAAAAAATGACCTATTCTTCTCAGAGTTCAAATAGAGAAAACAGTCCCCCTCTCCCCTGTACTACTTTTCCTCTTAATTCTAATTCAGACTTCCTAAAAACAAAAATCATTTGCCAGTGTCTGCATCAACAAAGCAACAGTTGCCAGCCAAATACATGATGCAACGAGATGGAATGAGACATCTGAAAAGAAACACGGGTTTATGAGTATGCACCATGTGTCTGGTACTGAGCAACACGCTTGATTTATATACTGTGCTCCTCTATTCAAATGCCCAGAAGAATCACTTCTCCTGAATGACCAACTAGCCCCCATCTTCAAAATCCTCAGAGGCCTCCTCTTTCAATCTTGTAGCTTGCATAGCACAAGTGAAATGTGAGCCTTGGGAGCCAAACTGTGAAAGGATATCAAGTATTTCTCTATAGTTTTATCATCACTCACTTTCATGTATACGGTAAACATCAATTTCATTGCCTAAGCTGTCATGAGATATTTAAACTAGTTCCTCCGTTAAAAAAAGAAAAAAAGGCAAGAAAAAGAAATGCAGGCAAAAAATCATGTTGCCAGGTAAATCTGTATACTAACAATTTTTCAAAATATCATGTTTTTAAAGCCTGCCTAACTGTACAATTTACTGGTCATCATAGTTACATCTCATATTATGCTGCAAGGTTCCCATATTAAATATATAATTTTCATTTTTATTCTCCCCAAATACAATGCAACTAATTATAAGAATATGTATTTTCTACATGAGTGACTTTTCTCAATGATAAATAATTATTAACTTTTTTGATTTACAAAATTAAGCACATGTGATTAGGAACCATGGAAGAGGCACATATCAGCCTTTGCTCTCATTTATTTGGCTCATAAGTATATTTAATATCTGTACGAAAAGTACTCCTCTCAGTGCTGCTATGAGCACCGAAGTATATAAGAAATGGTCCTTGGCACTAGCAAATCTATGTAATAAAAGCCTAAGCGACCGTTATGGTGGAACAATCAGAACGACCCATCTCTCTGATGTGAACTGACTGGCAGGGGGCAGATGCTCAACACAGGAGCTGCCCCCTGGTGGTCAGTGCACTCCCACAGGGGGAGCACCACTCAGCCAGAAGCCAGACTCACGGCTGGAGAGCACAGCAGCGGTGGCAGGAGCCTCTCCCACCTCCGTGGCAGGGCTAAAGAGCAAGGTGTCCCAGATTGCGAGAGGGATGTCTGACTGTGGCAGACAGACATTCTCCGAGGGGTCCTGGACTGCAAGAGGGTGCAGGCCGGGCTGAGGGACCCCCAGCCCCTACCCCCAGTGCACAAATTTCGTGCACCGGGCCTCTAGTGATATATAAGAAGTATATAAGAAATGGTCCTTGGCCTAAATGTATTTCCTTCTCTTATTTCTCATTTTCCACTGAATAGAGATATATCCCAATTAAGCAATAGAAACACTTTCCAAAGGAAGGTACATCAACCTAAAAATATATTTTAAATGAAATCCCTATAACAAACTCTAATTTATTGACTTAGAAATCCAAATTTCTATTTTTCACTTTTTTTTGGTGGGTTATACCTACTTTACCATCATCTAACTGAATTTCAAATCAAAATGTAATGATTATTCCAAATAATTGTCAGGCCCGGACACTTAGAATCATAACTGAATGTATTGCCCAGTCCATCATAAAAAATACCTGATTATGATGCTAACCAAGTGTCAATGAATGGACAGGCCACTTTTTTTCAAGAATAGTCAGTAGAAGGAGAATGTTTATTTTGTATTATCCTTCCCCTACTCAAAACTGACATCAATATCTATGACCTGACGAAAAGATGATTTATATAAGTATGCAGGATAGGGAAAAAAATAAAAGAGGAAAACAGAATAAAACTACTGTAAGGACAACAGAATTTATTTATTTGAAAAAGCACCTAGAGTTGACAAAGGTCATTGCAAAAAATCAAGTGCAAATGCCAGTAAGTATTATTACAGAAGTGTACCTGTGACCCTACCACTAACTTGATGCCAAAATTTAGCCAAACATATTTAATTTGATTATCATTTTAAGAATAAGGAAGCAGCTTTAAAATCATGATTTCTCAATAGAAATGCAGCTACCACATCATAAAAAACTGAATTGAGTGAAAAAATGGGGAAATTATTAAAAGAATACTCAGTATTGTATCTCGGGATGGTAGACCATGAGGAAAATGAATCGGAAACATATATATTTAAATTAACCAACATGCAGGAAAAAAGAGAAATAAATCACAAATATGCACTGGGTATACATCTTTAAGCTCAAGATCAGGTAACCTCTAACATTTAACCACAAGGACAAAAGGGGTACACATGGCAGTTAAAAGCAGACTCTGGAGTAATATCACCTGAGTTCAAATCTGAGGCCCACCACTAAATAATTAATTCAAGTAAGTTACATAATATCTTTCTGGTTCAATCATCTATAAAATGGGACTAAAGATAATAATGCTCATAAATGAGTTAAAATACAAGATTAAATGAGTTAATATAAATAAAGAATTAAGAATGGCCCTTGGCACATAAGTGCTATGAAAGTGTTGGCTATTAGTGATTTTAGAACTCACCATTCCCTTGACGTGGGCCCAATGACTTCAAGTTTCTTACATTGTCAACTACCCTCTCTTCATTTCTTGGATTATATACCATCAAGTGTGGTTCTCTGCAAAAATGATATTGTATGTTATATATCGAAACTATTCAAACATACACATGCACACATGCACAATGAGAAAAAACAGGCAATAATTTCCAAAGACAGATCGACTAAAATAATCATCTTTTTCTGCCAAATACTGAAAATTTAATAGCAAAGAAAAAAATGCAACTGAGGAGAAATGCTGCTATATAAGCAGCATTTGGGGGTCATTTTACAAAGAAAGATGTAAAAGCCTTGTAAAATGTATACTTTCCCCCAAAACAATGTCTTTTTGTCATTACTATTTGTCTTTTAAAGAAAAGGGATATAAATGAAACATTTTAATCTTGCATCTGGCATAGTCAAATTTTATTTTTCAATTACAGTTTATAGTTAATATTATTTTGTATTATTACTTTCAGGTGTATAACATAGTGGTTAGACAATTCTATACTTTACAAAGTGTTTCCCCTCAATATTTCCAGTTCCCATCTGGCACCATATGTAGTTACTGCAATATTATTGACTACTAGAAGCCTGGTGCACAACATTTGTGCATTGGTGGTGTGGGGGGGTGAGGAGCGACCCTCAGCCTGGTGTGAGTCCTCTTGCAGTCCGGGACCCCTCAACGGACATCCCCCAAGGGGTCCTTAGCATTGTGGAGGGGTCCTTGAGCCCAGCGTCTGGCTGAGCAGCGCTCCCCATGTGGGAATGCACTAACCACTAGGGGGCAGCTCCTGCCTTGAGTGTCTGCCCCCTGGTGGTCAGTATGCATCATAGCAACCGGTCATTCTGCCATTTGGTTGATTTGCATATTAGCCTTTTATTATATAGGATGTTTCCTATGCTATACTTTACATTCCTACAAACTATTTTTAACTTCCAATCTATACTTCTCAATCCCTTCATCTTTTTTCATCCAGTCCCCCAACACCCTCCCCTTTGACAACGGTCAGTCTGTCCTCTGTATCTATGAAGCTATTTCTGTTTTGCTTATTTATTTTGTTCTTTAGATTGTACATATAAGTGAAATCATATGGCATTTGTCTTTCTCTCACTGACTTTTCACTGAGCATAATATGACATGGTTCACTTCTGGCAAGTCAGAATGTGGACTGACCTCACTGGAGTTTATTGGTGATAGAAGAGTTTTATTTGGAGGTAATCCCATGAAAATTATAGCAAAACTTTGATGAAGATGGTTTATTTTTGTCTAATCAAATTCATCTTTATTCATCGTATGGCATTTTTAACAAAATGCAAGTGAACAACTGTACTATAGTTTTCAATTCCTATGATCAAGTGGCAAGTGCATTCTTTGTATCATAAAGTTGACTATAAAAATAATATTGGTAATTGATTATCATACTCTAATATGTGGAATTGTTTTATATACAAGTCAGTAAAAATCTTTAAGGAGCATTTCAGAAAACTGAAAATTAAATGTTTCATTTAGGTTAAATAGGTAAAATACATACAA